GTAAGTGTCTACTATTTAAAACCAATTCATTAAATTCCACAACAATGCAAACATAAAAATCTTATTAGCTTATTTGTTTTCGTTAAAAAGTCCACATAAAAAATGACTGTTTATATTTGAAAATACCATGATGGTATGGGATTATGAAATGTTAAAATGTAATACATAATTATCGGCACGACTTAAATAATTAATTATCTATTAAAGTATCTGAATGATTGTTGGTACAGGTATTTCAAGATATAGTAAATGGACTATTTTCATACAGGGAAGACTGTATACTAATATCTTACTTTACCGAATAAAATTGATTTTTAAAAAGGTATATAAAATATTGATATATGAACATTTAATACCAACAGTTATTATACATATTGCATCCTTGCTAGTTTTTATCAAAAGCTTTTTATATTACTTTCACAGTACAGTATTGTATTTAAATACAATAAACATGCCCCTTTTTCCTCTTCCAACTCCGACTGAATTTTTAATAGTACTGTACAATAATATGTAAAATAGTTCTTTAAATCATAAACCACTCTTATTAGTAATTTTTTTCACAGGATTCAAGTTCAAGTAAATTTGAGCTATATGTTGAAGCTTGCGGTACACCACGTAGGTAGTTCTGAAAATAACTATTATAGTTGAGAAAGTTTTAATACCATCGTGGCACTCCAGAAGGAACAGAGAAGCCATAGAAATTCACAAACACAATACTGTACATCAAGATAAAGGATTTGTCATTAACGATATTTGGCTGTCCATGTTTAATCGGACCTAGCTAAGCACCCTTTTTTCCCACCTCACTGGAACTATGCTTTTGCTTTTTTGTCGTTCCCACCCCCACCCCTCCCTTTCCCACCCTACTAGAACTATGCCTGTGTTTATAAGTATTTCTCTGATTGGAATTTCTGCAGATATTATTCTCCTGAAGACGATTGAAGCAACTCAATCGAAACATCGAGACTTACTTAACTACAATAGTTCTTTCAGAAATACCTATGTGGTGTACCGCAAGCTTAAACATATAACATAACTGAAATCATAAACCATTATTTTGAAGTAATTATAGTAATCATAACTGAAATCATAAACCATTAATGTTAAGTAATTAAGTAATCATAACTGAAATCATAAACCAATAATTTGAAGTAATTAAGTATAATTTATAACTGAAATTATAAGCCATTATTGTGAAATAATTAAGTAATCATACTGAAATCATAAACTATTAATGTTAAATAATTAAGTAATTATAATTAAGTAATCATAACTGAAATCATAAACCATTAATTTTATGTAATTAATTAAATACAGGTAATTATAATTAAGTAACCATAACTAAAATCATAAACCATTAATGTTAAGTAATTAAGTAATTTTAATTAAGTAATCATAACTGAAATGATAAGCCATTAATGTTAAGTAATTAAGTAATCGTAATTGAAACCAAGTTGTTTGTGGTTAGGCAGTATTTTTTGGATACCTTCTTTCATGATTTTTCAAAAATTAAGTACACTAAACAAGGTATAAAAAGAGTGTGGATAGCCTTAGGTACAATAAATGTTTCACCCAAAAACTCTCATTTTGAAATATGTACAGTACTAGGATCCATAATAAAATTATTAGTATGTTTATTCAAATTAAGAAATTTATTCAAAGAAACCAACAGTATTCACTCTTGTGAATAAATGTTTCACCCAAGTCAGGGTTTGTCAGATACTAAGCTGCTGCTTGTATGTTCATTGCTGGCTATGCTCCATTTAGTTTTGAAAAGTTGTTTTGGTGTGAAACTATATCCTTATTCATGCTTTCTGATATTTACAGATTCCTGCTATATTTTAGTTTTTTCCCATTTCTGTATGTAGGTTTCTCTTAAGATATCCAATGTCTGCAGAAGCGGGGGACCAGGGCGGTCATTGCCCCCCCCCCCCACTTTTTTCTACTGGAGGCCTGGTGACTGTTCCCAGCATCAGTGACAAATATTTCATGAATGCTGCAATGCCATTATTATTATTATTATTACTATAATAATAATAATACTAATTATTATTATTATTATTATTATTTGGTGCTTAGAGACCTTGTTTATTTGCACCTTATAAATCGACCTATTATTATTAAAAAATATAGATTTTTTTTTTCTTTTTTATAATGAATATTAAAGTTCCATTTTTGAGTTAAGCAACCAAATGTTGATTGATGTTAACAATAACAATAAGATACTTAATTAGGTCTCCGAAGGCTAACTACAGAATTCACTGTAGTTAATGAAGTTGTAAGAACTGTATTGAATAAAAACAATCTTTCGAATAAAGAAATCTTCCGCTTGTCATTAGGAATTATTAATTTGTGAAAAAAAATGATAGGCTATGTCAAGTATTTCGTCGGGCAATACCCATATCATTGATACCCCTCATGATAAATATTTCATTGAGATCGTGGAAGCAATCTCGACATCAGTGGCGGATTTAAGGGTTGTGGGGGGGCCTAATTGTTCAAATTTTTTTTTTTTTTTTTTTTATTAGAGATTTAAGTCTGTGCAATTTCCTGCCATCTAGAGGTGCCATAGTGACAAATTTTCTTACCTCAGCTCCAACCATGGTGGGGCTGAGGTAGTATAGTACCTCCATCTGTCAAAGTACCCCCTGGGCCCCGTCTGTTGCAAATTTCTTGATCTGCCACTGGAAAATACAACAATTATGAAGTCATATCACAGTAGCTTGATGCCTATAAAATAACTATTAATATTCACAAAACTTCGTCAAATACACGCCTATTTCATATCCTACATGCATGTATCTTCCTTATTTGTCCTATCAAACTACCAAACAAATCCTAAACAAATCATAATGAATATGTGGCAAAGACAAGCCAAACCAGTCACTCGTCGCAAATCGTGTTTGAGAGAAAATGGCCAAAACATTCTGGAATGTCAAATTTTTAAAAATATTTTATTGCACTAAACTAACCTTTACATATCTATACATCATTCTATGCTGATATTTTCCTCATTTTTAATGTTAAAACAACACTTTTTAAGGATTTAATGATCGTTTCTGCATGAGAAATGCTTGAAATCATAAACTTTGAAGGCTGATTTCTCATATATTGTTCTTTAAACAGCTGTATGTTTAAACGCTTGTAACTTCATAAGGAAATGTCCAATTTGAATGATTTTTTACCATTTTTTAGCTATTATTTTACTCTCTAACACTGTATTCTCAAAATCGATTTTTGCGATGAGTGACTGGTTTGGCTTGTCTTTGCAACATATTAGAAAACAGATGAATAAAATGAATATCAAATATGGGTCTAAGTCATCCATGTTTTTATCTAGGTTTGGATGCAGGTCATTAGAGCCAGTGGAATAATGTCCCCAAGGCTTCCCCTGCATAGTTCATCTTATACCCGATTCACACGTGAAGTTAAATTTAACAAAAAGTAACAAATTGTAACCGAGCGATCTCCCGAGTTATTCCTACCGAGATAAAAAGCATTCACACACGTCTGTAAGGTAATGCCAAGGTTGTGTAAAATTTATTCAGTGTTTATTCAATGAACCATTTTTTCCCCTACTGCGATATAGGTCTTGCCTAGGCCTAGTTGAGAACCCCTGTCACAGATGGACTGTTGAACTCACCATCACAGTAAACATTCGAAGCAATCAATACCCTTAATCACTGCTGTATTACTACTACTAAACTAGGCATAGCTTCCAATGTTTCTGTCGACTCTTGTAATACTAGTAATAGTACTAACACCATCCTGACGTTCATTTTATGTATATCTTCTTCCTCTACCATTACTAATTAACATCAATAACAAGGGTAATTCATTCATCATTGAGAAAAACTAGACCTATCTATTTCTAGTGGATCAGAATCGTATGCAGAAGGAAGAAAATTCAAAGAACCCCGTGAAACAGTAGATTGTTGTTGTGTTGAAATCCCTGCGCATGCGCAGACCCTAGCCATCCATGTTACATACTTTATTATTATTATTATTATCTCGGAAGCTTTACCAGCCTCAGCGAGGCTGGTAAAGATTACCGAGACGTTCCGAGATTTTACAAGGATATTACACAGAGGTACTTTCAAACGTGCCGTAAAATGTTACTTCTGGTTACATTTTGTTACATTTGGTAAGATTTTTGTACGTGTGAATCGGGTATTAGAGTTGAGTATGCGTGTCACTAGGTTTGAATGGAGCATGTTGGTACATAAAAACACAACGACCATATATTCAAGCTGCCTAGTATCTGGCAAATCCCCCCTTCCAGTACATTATAATTTTTATGAAATATCTTATGGAATGAATATGGAGTATTGTACAACATGGTTTGATGTAAAGTAATGAATTCTACTTTCAGCTGAGGTGTTAGATGATTAGATCTACCTCCCGGCACGTATATTCCTGATCATCCAACAATGAGGAAAGTAAAGATTTCACTACTTTATCAGAAAAAATGTATTTCTTTTTCATATACCTCATATAAAACAGAAACTGTCCGTCTACATACCAGCGGGTCATTTTGGGTAGTATTTTTTGCCCCGCATCCTCATAAATTTGGTAAATACACAGAAGTATTTGAAACTATAGTACCATGTACCGGGTGGAATTGATGTTATTATCTAATTAATATAAACTTATAAAGTATAGTAGTTGCATAAATACACATAAGAACTTAAAAACCAGTTTCTGTTGCAGGTTCAAGCCTTGTAAAATTATCAATTTCTTCGTAGGTGTGGGTGGTACTTCTACTATTGGTGTTTGAGTGATTTATTACATTAACCTCATTAACCTGCATGTCTAAATACTGCATAGCTGTATTAAAATCCAGGTAGCTATCATGATGCAGTGTATTCTGCATGTTTAGTGAAAACTCACTAGGTTCAAAAGGACTTTGGAAGTGCCAATTATTAGATAAGATATGATCAATCCTGTTTATAATTTGTTCAGTCTGAGGTCTCATTGATTTTCTTGAGTAGAAGAATAAGCAAAGCATGACAATAAATGCCACTATAAAAATACATGTGATGACAATTAAAAGGGAAAGCTCTAAATGATGGTGATGCAGATTACTTGAACCTTTTGGAATGCCAGTTTTGATGAAAGCTGATTTTTTCGAAATGCCATTTGAAGTAGGCGATGTGGTACTAATCTGAGAGTCTGTGGAGTGATGGGTAGAGTCTGTTGTAGAAGACATTGTAGATCTTTGTTGAATGCCAGTGGGGGTGGAAGCTGATTGTGTTGTCACAGTTTGATTTGAAATAGGCAATGTGGTACTAAACTGAGGGTCTGTGGGTCGATAGGTAGTAACTGTTTTAGAAGAAATCATAGAATCTTGTTGAATGCCAGCAGTGGTGGAAGCTGATTGTGTTGTCACAGTTTGATTTGAAATAGGCAATGTGGTACTAAACTGAGGGTCTGTGGGTCGATAGGTAGTAACTGTTTTAGAAGACATCATAAAATCTTGTTGAATGCCAGCAGTGGTGGAAGCTGATTGTGTTGTCACAGTTTGATTTGAAATAGGCAATGTGGTACTAAACTGAGGGTCTGTGGAGCGATAGGTAGTAACTGTTTTAGAAGACATCATAGAATCTTGTTGAATGCCAGCAGTGGTGGAAGCTGATTGTGTTGTCACAGTTTGATTTGAAATAGGCGATGTGGTACTAAACTGAGGGTCTGTGGAGAGATAGGTAGTAACTGTTGTAGAATTAGACATTGTAGAATCTTGTTGAATGCCAGCGGTGGTGGAAGCTGATTGTGTTGTCGTAATGCCATTTGAAGTAGGCGATGTGGTACTAATCTGAGAGTCTGTGGAGTGATGGGTAGAGTCTGTTGTAGAAGACATTGTAGATCTTTGTTGAATGCCAGTGGGGGTGGAAGCTGATTGTGTTGTCACAGTTTGATTTGAAATAGGCGATGTGGTACTAAACTGAGGGTCTCTGTCAGTGTGCAATATATCATTTGAGGGTGAGGATGCTTGAGGTAATGCTGTGGGCTGAGTCAAGTTTTTAAAATACAATATGATACACGAAGGTGGTGATATATCGTTATACAGTGTACAGTCAGCAAAGCATTCTTCCTTGAATAATGAAACTATTCTGTCATTTATATTATCTGTGATCACTTGACTATATTGAAAGACACATGAATCAATCAAAATGTTGGAAGATGTAATGTTACACATTACTATATAGTGATTTATGCCAGAATTACAAGACATGAAATGTCCATACAATTTCGTGGTATGTTCACTAGTCAAATCTTCCATCTTTTTAGTTGTGTAAGCAGCAATTTCCTCCCTTGATAGTGTGTCCTGGTTCAAATAAAGCGATATACTACACGAACGTTCTGGTTTTTTTGAGTTATCAGTTTTACAGGCATCGCGGCAGTCTTTCATCAATGATAAAACTATGCTATCATCTATATCGTCTTCAGTCACTATTTCAGTATTATTCAAGACACATGAATTATCCAAACTGTTGGAATCTGGGATACATTTTACTATATACCGATACTGTTCTGCGCCAGATGTACAAAACGTGGCTTTTTCATGCATTAAACGTGGAATAGGTTTACTAGTGGCATCCAAATCTGTTTCAGTTTTGTCAATAGCAATTACCAGTGTTAATAAAATCCCCATAAGGATAAGTAAAGCGAGGTCATGACAGCTTCTCGCCATATTACATGCAAGTGCCTAGTTGTATCTCTGGTATTTTAAAAATAAGTTGAAAAAGCTGTAAAATAAATATAAACATAATTTAATACAATATTTATTGCAGTGCCAACTCATGTTTTAACATGTTCGCTGCTAGTGACACTATACTCATTTCACAGGGTGTTGCTGAGGGTTGTGCTATAGGCACGACTATACTCGTCAAAACTGAGGTGACATTCTAGCATTTATTACTTCATTGTTACATTGTAGAACCACAGACTTAACGGCTGATAGTTTGGGGCAGATTCACCTACATGATAAGGTACAAATAATGTACAGTAAATATATGTTTGTTGTGTTATGCAGTACACTCAATTGCACGAGTGGGGGCACCCTCTGAACATATACAACCTGGATTTTTTTTATATATGTTGTTGCCAACACCTTGGGCAACAATTTACATAAATTATAATTTTATGTCTGCATGATCCACTAGGTCAAATTCAAGGTCAAAAAGAAGGTCAAAGGGTCACTGACATTAGATATGGTCAATTATACAAAATAATGGCAGATTTAGATTCCGTAGTTAATTCCCTTTTTCTTTTTTTTTTTTTAAATACTAATTTTGTGAATGTTGGCCAACCCACTGCTGAGATATTGAGGTTTAAACGTTGGCGGCCACACCCATTTTGACCAATATTGCCAAAATTGGGTGTGTCATAAATCCCAGAATAATGACCAGATTTTGCTGAAAATTAGGATTTTACTGTTTGATGCCAAACCCAACATGCATACTGATTTTCATCGAAGTCGGAGTTGATCGGGTTAAACCCATTGGGTGATTTGACATGGAATGACCCATTTGTCTGTAATTGTTAGCATTGTTTGTGGCATTTACCTGTGTATATGGGGGTAGTCATTGAAAGCTTTCAATCGTTTGGACCCATACCATTCATTAATGATTTATTTATAATGGAATGTACAGATTTTGTATTATAGCGTGATGCAAGTCTAGTATCAGAATTATGAACATCAAGGTTACTATTTTCAGATAATAAAATTGTAAAGAAAAAATGATTAATGGTTATTTAAGCAACCAGCATGGGACTTACATGGCAAGAAAGCTTAATTTATGAGCTACAATTGACCGTTCACCCCAAAGTTTAGCGACCTGTCGTTGTAGAGTTATGGTAAAAAGAAGCAGGAAGTATACCAAAAAACACTCTAATTTTAACCTTTTTCCTATGCAAAAGCATAAGAGATAGTCAATTTTGAAAGAAAAATGATCACTCAATTTTGCATTAATTGTAAAAATATATAGATGATTATAAAGCTTAAAACATCTAGTTTCATAATCCGATCGCCCCAGATTGCCAGATGAAACCTTTCAAATTATATAGTCGATTTTGTGAGAAAAGGGGGTCCGGTTTTGACTCATTTACTGTGTTGAAGTGTACAATGAACCGTTCAGTGAGCAGATGTCCTCAAGTTTTCAATATGATTTGATAATTTTCACTATAGTGACCCTTTTGACTTATAAGTGAAGAGTCCTTTTTCATGTTTAGAAGGTCCTAAGGATCATTCCTGGTAAATTTGAGCTCAATTGGTCTATTTTGAAAATTTAACCCCGATGACCCCTATGTGACCCCTGATCCCAGACTGGGGTGTAGGTGTCGCTGGTTCTTAATGACGAAATTTGATTGAATTTGGTCCAATGGTTTGCCATTAGTACCATTTTGAAATGTTACTAGAGAGAACAAAAGAATAACCCTTTAATGACCTTTGACCGTAAATCGCTGAACACCATAAGACCCTACATTATGCCAATACATATGTGCCCAGGACAAGACTGTGTTATGTCATTTGTGACAGAAGAAGTCTTTTATTTATTTTTTTGAAAGTGTTTTACCCTAATGACCCCTATGTGACCTTTGACCCCAAGCAGTGAACACCCCATGTATGAAAGGTGTCACCGATTATACTGACCAGGTTTGGTTGAAATCGGCACAACCGTTTGGCACTAGTAGCGTTTTGAAATGTTGCCAGAAAAAAGATAAAAATCACCCCTTAATTACCTTTGATCCCTTATCCCTGAACACCCTATAGACCCTGCCTTATGCCAATGTATATGTGCAAAGGACAAGACTGTGCTACCTAATGCCCCTTATGTGACCTTTGACCCCAAGTTGTGAGCAAAACATAAATGGGAGATGGCACCAGTCCTACTGACCATTTTTTTTATAAAATCGGTCCAGTAGTTTGCCACTAGTAGCCTTTTAAAATGTTGCCAGAAAGAAAGAAAGAAACTGCTAAGAAACAGAACCCAGTCAGCTGCTGCTGACTGGGTAAAGAAAGAAGAAACTGCTAAGAAACAGAACCCAGTCAGCTGCTGCTGACTGGGTAAAGAACTAGAGACACTATGTTCTATAGAACATGAACCCAGTCATTTTTCAGGATTTGATCCCCAGATGACCCCTATGACCTTCGACCTCAAGCTGTGAACACCCCATGCTTGGTAGGAGTCTCTCTAATGGAATCGGTCCAATCGTTTGTCACTAGCATTATTTGATAATTTTCACCTTAATGACCCCTGTGATTTTGACCTTTGAACTTAATTGACATTAAGAACATATTAAAACATACTTACAATGTACAAAGTATCATTAGTAATGAATTTGAGCTACATGAAAAAATATGGAAAAGACTGACCTTTGACCTATAAACTTTGAACTACACGGTGAAGAGTATTTTTTTTTTAATGTTTAGAAGGTTTTAAGGATCATTCCTGGTAAATTTGAGCTCAATTGCGCTATTTTGAAAATTTGACCCCAATGATACATATGTGACCCCTAATCTCAGACATGGGTGAAGGAGGTGTCAATGGTTCTTAATAACTAAATTCCATTGAATTCGGTCCAATTGTTTGCCATTAGTAGCTTTTTGAAATGTTGCTAGATAAAACAACAGAATAACCCTTTAATGACCTTTGACCCTAAATCTCTAAACACCATAAAGACCCTACCTTATGCAAATGCATATGTGCCCAGGACAAGACTGTGCTATGTTATTTGTGACAGAAAAAGTCTTTTATTTATTTCTTTGGATTTTTTTTATCCCAATGACCCCTATTTGATCTTTGACCCCACACAGTGAACACCCCATGTATGAGAGGTGTCACCGGTTATACTGACCAGGTTTGGTTGAAATCGGCACAACCGTTTGGCACTAATAGCGTTTTGAAATGTTGAGAGAAAAAAGATAAAAATTACCACTTAATGACCTTTGACCCTTATTCTGCCTTATGCCAATTTATATGTGCAAAGGACAAGACTGTGCTACCTTATTTGTGAGAGAAGTAGTCTTTTATATGATTTTTGGTTTTTTGACCCTAATGCCCCTTATGTGACCTTTGACCACATGTTGTGAACAACACATCATGCTGCATTTTTGGCCGTTAGCAGAACTGGTCCATGGCACCCGCTTTTGGAAAAACCGGGGTTATAAATTCTGCTGGTTTGTTGAAGAGCGATGGGTTCTTAAATTATTTATTGCCACTGAAGCCCATGAGATAAAGTGAATGATTGTAATGGGTTTCTTTTTTACATTCCAATGGCTATATGTTGCTGGCCAGGACTCTCTTGTTAACTCCCAATGGACATTCTTAAACCAATTAAAGTTAAGTTTATGGAGCTGCTAACAGCTCCCTCTGGACCATTTGACAGCTCACTCTCAACTATCAGACAGCTCACTATGGACCATTTCTGCTAATGGGGACTTTTGCCTCATGATAAATGGGAGGTGTCACCGATCCTACTGACCAAGTTTTTATTAAATCGGTCCAGTAGTTTGCCACTAGTAGGTTTTTTAAATGTTGCCAGAAAGAAAGAAGAAACTGCTCAGAAACAGAACCCAGTCAGCATGCTGACTGGGTAAAGAAAGAAAGAAGGAAAGAAGAAACTGCTCAGAAACAAAACCCAGTCAGTACTTTTATGACTAGTTTATTTGTGACAATACACAAGCTGTCGTGCACACAGTGCACTTCTTCAGGTGAATGTGAAGTTAACATTTGTGTCCATTGTCCAATCTCCGACAACAACTCATTCACAGCCAACTCCCTACTGATAATAATACACCCGGAACTTTTCCTTGCAATAGTAACAAATGCTTACTTAGCCCCCATATCACACTGACAACAAAATAACAGGACCTAATGGTAAAAGCATATCCATAACAGGCACATACTCATGCACATCTACTAATGTCATCTACGCAATCACATGTCAAAAATGTCCTAAAGCAGTATATATACAGTAGGACAAACAGGACAATCCCTCAGACAACGACTCAATGGACACAAATCAGACATACGACAAACACAACCACAAACCAGTAGCAGAACATTTCAACTCTAATTCACACTCCATGCTCGACATTAAGGTTGCTGTGATTAAAAAACCTAACTTCAAAAACAGCCTAGAAAGAGAAATTGATGAACAGAAATTTATCAATAAGCTTAATTGTGTAGAGCAGGGCCTTAATATTAGGACTATGGTTTTTTCTCGCATTATAGAACATAATATTCACACTCTGTATGCTTTTTCTATATCTCATTTTCTGCCATTAGTGTTTTCATAGTTTTATATATCTATCATGCTATGCTTAGGCTTTTATATAGATTCTTTTATTATTATATGTCATCTGATTACAGTCCTTGATTTTACTATATGATGTTCAGACACTATATAACTATGGTTCTATATTTATACTGTTATATTTTTACTATGCTTTTATAATATATTAGTACTGTATATCATTATATGATGTCCAGACTTTTGTCATAATTGTATGCTTGAATAAATTAACTTGCTTAGGTCTATCCACCAAGTTTATGTTAACTTCACATTCACCTGAAGAAGTGCACTGTGTGCACGAAAGCTTGTTTACTGTCACAAATAAACTAGTGATAAAAGTACTGAATATCCTTAGTTTTATTTTCTATTATAAAATTTAGTGTGTGAGTAGGC